TACTGCTTAACAATCAGTATTCCATATAATGAAGATAGTCTATAATAATCAATGCTTTACAGTCACAAAAAAAAAAAAAAACTATAAAATAAGTACTGGATAGAGACAAAGAAATAAATAAGCAAGCTATCAGGAGAGGACCCTTGGTCAAGTGGCTCTGCAAAGAATGGAAGGTGATGTTGAAGTCTTTATTGTAGACCAGAATTGACCTAGTTAGGGAAAATGCCCAGGTTCATTTTGAATTTGTATGAAAGGGTTGCATCATGGGGCAGGAAGAAGACTAGGTGGTGACCACACTGCTGGGCATTAGAGAATAATGGGATGATGAGATGGTCCGGTATGTTGAGCTGTGACAGATCAGATTTCACAATGGTGGGGAAGGTACAAAGAAGATGTGTGCATTCAGAGGTTTGCGTAAAGATGATAGAGAGGTGGCAGATTGTTTGATAAAACTCTCTTAATTTAAAAAAAAATTGTGACATTTACTTTATTTAATTCAGTCCATGGGTTCTGCTTCATGGGTACTGATTTCTGTAAACATAATGGTTTACTAAGATCAGTAAGATTTTGTCTGCTTGGTTCAATGTGCATATATTTCTGAAATTGTGTTAATGAGCACTTTGGTATGGAAATTAGTCTAGTCTTTTGTTGTTAAATGCCGATGTTCGGGGTGTTGAGTTACGCAGGTTTACCACCCCCAACTTGGCTTCCAGCAGGTGTTTGGTATTCCTAGTTAGATTGTCATAGTGCAGCTGTGCATAAAGCTGCTTCTGCCACACAAATGTATGAAACTGTTCTCCGCTAATAATTATAGATTACACAGCGATAATAATCATGTACGGAGTTTAAAGGAATGGTATCGGCAACCAGACCACTTAATCTTATAGTGATAACAAGCACTATAGTTTTAAAAGCGCTACTTAGGTTCCCTTTTCCCTGCATTAGAAAAATGTTAAACTCCCTTTATTTCAAACCCCCACTTTGACACTATGGCTGAGATCATAAGATTTAGAAATCTCAGCCAATCAAATACTTTCCCATAGCAAATGCAGCATTGCACCAATCGTCATCTCCTTGTAGAGATGCATTGAATCAATCCATCTCTAGGGGGAGCATTCACCATCTCCACCCACACAAAACATCAGTTCAAGAAAAAGATGGAGATCTGTATATCGTGTCACAAAACCTTTTCTATGAAAAAAATAATTAAAAAATGCAGCGTTTACATTAAAACACCTGCAGTGGCATGCTATACGCACTAGAACAAGTACATTAAGCTGTAGTTGTTCTGGTGACTATAGTGATCCTTTAATGATGTGGTTTGGATGACATGCCCATATACATGGAAGGCTGGTATGTGTGTATGAAAGATGAGTATATTCACAATGTATTTTAACCTTGGAATGTGTAAATGTTAGGTTGGTTAAGCTAGCTGAAGTTATTTTTCTTCTTTTCTCATTTGTGCATAAAGGAAAGAAGTCACATCTTCGAAAAACAACAGAGAAGAAGGCACCTTCTAAAGAAACTACAGCAAAGCTCCAGCAATCTGACATCTGGAAGATGGAGAACGAGTTCTATGAATTTGCTCTAGAACAGTTTCAATTTGTCAGGGCACACGCAGTTCGAGAAAAAGATGGAGAGCTGTATATCCTGGCACAAAACTTTTTCTATGAAAAAATTTACCCAAAGTCAAACTAAGGGCGGTTTACACTGCTAGTTTAATGGACTTACAACTTTTGTTCATAAGACTTAATTTCAGGCCTACAGACTCTGTTGGTAATTACACCTTTGAGACGGTTCATTGATAACTTGCTCCGGTTGTCTTCAAATGAGCCATATCAAATGTCAGCCACTAAGAAAACGCGACCTTCAGATGATTTAAAACTTCTGGCACAAGATCATAGTGATAACGCTAAAAAAAATTTGAACTTACGGTTCCTATTTAACACTGGACAGTCCCAAAAAATACACTGTACATAAAGCCAAACTCTGGGTCCTTTTTATTTTCAAGAAAGTGTTTTCCTGAACACATTTATTTTTAATTTGTGTCCAATTTTCAATTGTGATGGTTCTTGATAAAAGTGTGATTCACCGGTGTATATTTTGAACATCTTTTAAAACTGTACTGCACATGCTGCTGTAAAATGTACCCATCCAAAATGCTCACGCATTATTAGAAATATTGTTGTACAGTAGGTCTGGGTGAAAAGACATCTAAGGCAATTACTACAAATAATTACACAAACACTCCTAAAAGCATCATTGTTTCAGCTAAAACCATATGTTTGAGCAAACTATTAAAATCTGTATTTTTACAGTAGTGCATTTTTATGGAATTGACTGTGATATAAATCAAATAACTAAAAATGTTTCAGACAGATAGGAGAGCTTCAGAGTACACAGAGTCACCACTAATGCAATACCATATGCTTAATATCTCAAATGGACAAGGAAAAATGTCTGCAGGTATTATTCAGGGGACATGTCTATTTCAGAACCTTTAGGTAATGTTTATGTATTTAAAGGGACATGCATTACTGTGAGACAACTATCTCATTTAAAAGCTTTAGGACACCAATCAATGTCCTATCCCTAGGAATGCTCAAAAAGTGCATTGGGCGTGTTTGACAGTTCTAAAGATGTGCAGTTGGAAGATCTCTTCACCCTGAAACAATCTAACAGGGGTTGGAGAAGGAGTCTGATCAGAGAGATTTGTGCAGTGAAGGCTTCGGTGTCTGAGATCTTTCTTGCTGCTGCATAATGATTTGTAGGTAGGAAGAGGCTGGAAAAACTTCTCTAACTGAGAAGTGTGCTCAACAATGCATTTTGACCAAGTTTAGAAACATTTATTACATACTTTTAAAAGTTTATCTTGCTTTATTTTGGTTTGTCTATCAGTTTAAAAGTGTTTGCTACCTGATTTAAAAAAATAGTTGTCAAGTCATGCATGTCCCTTTTTAATAATACGTTCAAACCCAAATAATGGAGCTTCTGGAAGAGAGGCATACTAGGATAGGAAGTGGAGATGGATCAGGCCCCAAAGCGGCAGTTTCCCCCTTTAATGAAAATTTATTTTTGATAATCTCCTGCAACTACTTGAGTAGGAATGACCCACTTAGAATCTGGAGGGATAGTGTGAGTGAAACTTTCACCCAACCCTATTGTACAATGCAGAAACACTAGACAGCAATTCAAAAACAATTGTACTTTATTTTTATTTTATTTGGTCTTCCTCCATGTCCAGAGAAATTGGAGAATCACTAGCTTATTGTTTTGTTTTTTTTTTATATATATTTTTTTTTTTTTACCCATCTGTTCATGCTTAATCTCTGTATATTGCAATAGCTATTAATTCAATGCAAAACCAACTGGTTAGCTGTGGTAACAAGATTTCCTACTTCCATACTTTTACCTGTAGAATATTTTTTACTGAAGTGCTTTGTAATGTGTTTTAAATATTAGCATTTACATACTGAATAAAAAGCTGTAAATAATGCACATTTTGAAGTATTTGCACCAAAAAGTTTTAAGTCCTGGTAAAATGATGGCAAATCCAGAAAAAAAATCTCAAGGATGTTTTCACGGTGTTCTTCAGAATGATGACTCAAATCTGTTTGTTTATATGTATTTTTGGTTTTGTTTGTCAGGCAGCACTCATACTTCATTTTCCCAAAGACAACCTCTGGATATGACACTGAGCATGTGCACTCAACTTTTTGGTTGACCATGGCGAGGCCTATTCTGAGTGGAACCTGTCCTGTGAAACCACTGTATGGTCTTGCCCATCATGCTGCAGCTCAGTTTCAGGGTCTTGACAATCTTCTTATAGCCTAGGCCATCTTTATGTAGAGCAACAATTCTTTTTTTTCAGATCCTCAGAGAGTTCTGTGCCATGTTGAACTTCCAGTGACCAGTATGCTCCCCATTCACACCTGAGAACTTGTAACACTGAGTCACATGACACCGGGGAGGGAAAATGGCTAATTGGGCCCAATTTGGACATTTCCACTTAGGAGTGTACTCCCTTTTGTTGCCAATGGTTTAGAAATTAATGACTGTGTGTTGAGTTATTTTGAGGGGACAGCAAATTTACACTGTTATACAGGCTGTACACTTACTACTTTACATTGTAGCAGAGTGTCATTTATTCAGTGTTGTCACATGAAAATATATATTTACAAAAATGTGAGGGGTGTACTCACTTTTGTGAGATACAGTGTGTGTGTGTGTGTGTATGTATATGTATGTAATAAATATATATAATATTACAATGTTTAACAGAAATCTGCACACTGGTCAAGCCATAAGACTTTTTTTCCCCACATGTCCAGTGATGTTACTACTGCAAAGGATTCTGGGTGGGCATTTGCAAATTAGTTTAACAAAGAATCAGATTTTTGCCTCATTCCATTTTAAACATAGATTCATTTGAGTCTATGTTTCCACTTTGGCTACTTTGGCCTTAAATTTCAATTTCACTTTAAATTCACTTTTTATTCTAGCATATAACCCTGACAGAGCTGGCTCCAAGAATTGTAGTTTACATGCTAAGTTTTATTTTCAGGGACTAGAGAGCTTTGCTTTGTTTTCAGCCCTACCAATCTCATCATCGCTGGATTCAGGTAAGTAGTAAGAGTTTTTAACCCTTTATGCGCTGTGAGGGGCATTATTATAGGCTAGGAATAACATTTTGTATTCCTAGCCTTTAGTTGTCCTTTAAGTCGTCCTTTTACCCCTTATGGACACATGACATGTGTGACATGTCATGATTACCTTTTATTCCAGAAGTTTGGTACTTAAGGGGTTAAGTCCACCTCTAGTGGCTGTCTTCCAGACAAACACTAGATGCACTTCCTGGCTTCTCACGAAGTCTAACTCGTTGAAATTATGTTGGATGTCCACATGCTATGCATGAGGACGTCCAGTCCTTTCAAAATCACATTGGTAATTATTGATTCAAAGCTTTCCTATGGGGAAGCTCTAATGCGCTTTGGCGTAACGTTGCAGTAGGAGTAGAGCACTTCTGAATTGAGGGAACTCAGCGCTGGAATTAAGTTGCTAAGTTGAGTGTTAAAAGGATTTTAACCCTTTCATGTGCTGGGAGGAACCTAAACTATTAGGGACAGGGGCATACAGTTTTGTATTCCGAAGGCTATAGTGTTCCATTAATTGAACTATCAGATTTTTAAAGCTCAATTTACCTTGTAATGATTACTTTTAGATCTTTCAGCAAGGTTTTTTGTTTTTTTAACTGATGGATTTCTAAAACACCTTGCTTTCATTGACTCATCTGGGAGTTCAAAATAGTTTGCATTACACACATGCTCCATATAACATTTAAAAAAAAAAAAAATGATTTAAATTATTATATAAGTTCAGTGTGAGTCCATGTCCAAACTAGGCAAGAAGTTTGGACTTTGCAGCTGATGCTACCTGTCAGTGGAAGAGCTGCACCTTGGATCGCCTGTTCTGCCAAGAGGGGAGAGGGCTAAAGGTCTTCAGATAGTGGTCACAGGCAGATAGCTAAACACCCAATGTGGGGTTCCAAGGAAGCAAAGTGGATAAGCTAAAATAGGGTCCCACATGCACAAGCCACAGTGCAGTTTAATGAAATAAGGAGACCAGATAGTGGAATATTATTTGAGTGGGAAGAACCAACCACATCAAACAAAAACCAGTGGAGCACTGAATATGTACACTTACCCTAAAATAAGGGAATAAAATACAACAGAATGTCTGGGGGAAAGAAAGAGACAAAATATGGTGCAGTATGTCTTAAACAAATAGACAGAGTAATATATTATCTGTATAAAGCACACTCACATGGTGCAGAGCCTTAGGGGAGATAGGCTCAAATCTCATGCGCAGAGGTATTTATAGATAATACCAAAACTTCTTCAGTGTAGAGATGTGGAATACTCAGGAATAAAAAGAAAGATAAGACATTTATAGTGTGTTAATCTTCACTAAAACTGTGAATAAAATATAGCAGTCACTGCTCACTTTGTTGAGAGCCAAAGTACTGGGCTCTCAGGATAATGCGCACTGTGCCTTTAAGAGGGCACAACTCTTCTTTACAGCAGAGGATAATGGCAAAGTATGGTACTTAGATATATATTTAACAAAATGTATTAACCAAAATATTAGGTATATAAAAACAACAAATAAAAATACCACAGGTATTAAGTCCCAAAAATGAATGTTGCTGTCCAAAAGCAGTCCAAGACGCGTTTCGCCGGAACCAACAGGTTTCTCAAGCGGTGTCCTCTTCTGTGCGCGTTGTGCAGGCTTTATACCTGGCGGTTCGTCTGTGTTTGGTCCTCCTGTGTGTCTTTCATCCAATCATTTACCAGTCTGAGTGGTTGTTGGCCGGATCAGCTGTTTGCAGTTAGTTTCGTGTATCCGGAAGTGACATATTGGAGAATATCTGACGTCACTTCCGGTGTTCCGATATCGCCATATTGTGTATTGGCATAACGCTAGCCGGTGTTCTATCAAATTCCCCTACCTCGTGAAAATCCCCTACCCTCGTCACTTCCGGTGAGGGAAATCAGCTGGATCCTGTGCTGCACATGCGTGCTAGCACTCCTGCTACTGGAAGGTAAGTAAAACTAGTTTTACACTTTCATTATAGTTAGTGCATTCACTAAGTTTAGGCACCCGGGACATGTCTGTGATTGGATGAAAGACATACAGGGGGACCAATCGTTTACCAGTCTGAGTGGGTGTCAGCCGGATCAGCTGTTTGCAGTTAGTTTCGTGTATCAGGAAGTGACGTATCGGAGAATATCCGACTTCACTTCTGGTGTTCTGATATCGCCATATTGTGTATTGGCATAATGAAAGCCAGCAATGTAACTCAAGGCAATAATTTATAACGTCCATAACGAGAAATAAGGAAAGGAAACACAGGAAACAGTATTAGAAGTGCAATATATGGAGGAAGAATTTAGTAACTTTTATAAAGAATAAATAGTAACAATGGTAATAAGATGACAAATATTGCAAATGGTATTAAACTGTATTATACACATAACACATTACACATAATAAACAGAGAAGCATTAACCATAATAAAAAATACATATTAGGCTGTATTGTGTGTTTATATATATATATATATATATATATATATAAATATATATATATAAAAATACACATAATAAAAGGAAAGAACAATAAAACCATTAATCCTCATTCACATAATCAATCTTATAGATACAAAGTGTCACATCAAAAAAAATCATCTGGCTTTCCAAAAGTACCACATGACAGTGCCATCTACATCTGAAAAAATGTATGATAATTTAAAAATTTTTTTGATATGTTAAAGAATTAGTTTATTTCATAGAGATTACAAAATCCATAAAAAATGGTTATTATAAAAAATATTATAAAAATATTATAAAAAATGACAGAGTTCGAAATCATTGTTCAAACCACCAGGATGTAAAGTATCTAAATTGAATATCCAGCGCATTTCTCCTTGTCCCATCTTTTTTTATTAAATCGTCTCCCCTCCAATTAGGGGTCACTTTGTGAATTCCCAAAAATTGTATTTTACTTGGATCACTATTATGGAAATTCTTAAAGTGAAGGGATACGCTGTGTTTTAAAAAAAACGTTCCTCACATTTCTAATGTGTTCTTGTATTCTTATTTGTAAGGGACGAATAGCACGTCCAATATATAACAGTCCACATGGACAAGTGATCATGTATAATATTTTCTTAGAATGGCACGTAATAATGCTTATAATTATAAAACTTTTTTGGGTGTATGAATTCCCTAATTTCTCTTTTTTTACTATTTGTGCTTCTACAAGCTCCACATACCCCACAGCCGTAGAAGCCCATGTGTTCATGTAGTTATTTGTAAGACTGATACGTAAATTGGGTACTCCCCGGTATATTATTCTGTGTTTCTCTGGTAGAAGTATATTCAATGTTTCATTACTTTTCAAAATGGGCCAATGTTTAGAGATTATTCTCTTTACTTGATTGCCCTGAGCATTAAAATCGCATATAAAAGGTATCTCATTATTTTCAAATGTAGCTGGTTTATGCTTGTATTCTAATAGGGACTCTCTGTCTCAGAGTGATGTTTGATGGTAAGCTGTCTGTAATAGTTGTCTGTCATATCCCTTATCAGAAAAGTCTTTAATAATTTTCTGAGCCTGTTTTTGGAACACATTAGTGTCTGTGCAATTGTGTTTTACCCCAAGTAATTGTGCTTTTGGTGCATTTAAAAGCCAAGGTGAATAGTGGCAACTTGTTTGTTGGATGTAGCTATTGACATCCACTTGTCTTAATAGTGTTATCCTCAATATATATATTCAAATCTAAAAATTCCACTGAATTCTTCTCATACTGTTTTCAGATGTAGATGGCACTGCCATGTGGTCCTTTTGGAAAGCTTGATGATTTTTTTGATGTGACACTTTGTATCTATAAGATTGATTAGGTGAATGAGGATTAATATTTTTATTGTTCTTTCCTTTTATTATGTGTATTTATATATATATACAATACAGCCTAATATGTATTTTTTATTATGGTTAATGCTTCTCTGTTTATGTGTAATTATGTGTATAATGCAGTTTAATACAATTTGCAATATTACCATTGTTACTATTTCTTCTTTATAAGAGTTACTAAATTCTTCCTCCATATATTGCACTTCTAATACTGTTTCCTGTGTTTCCTTTCCTTATTTCTCGTTATGGACGTTATAAATTATTGCCTTGAGTTACATTGCCAGTGTTCTTTCAAATTCTCCTTCCCGTGAAAATCCCCTACCCTTGTCACTTCCGATGAGGGGAATCAGCTGATGCGTGGTAGCACTTCTGCTACTCCTCCACAGCAAGGTCCTGGGAGGTCAGTAAAACTAGTTTTACACTTTCATTATAGTTAGTGCATTCATTAAGCTTAGGACATGGGACATTTAGGGTTAATGTTAGGGTTCAAATTAGGGTGAGGATTAGGGACTTGTTCATATTTAGTGATATTTCACATTAGGGGAATATCACTAAATAGTGATTTCTCACACTTTATTTTAACCCTTACCCCAAGGGTTAGGGTAAGAATAGAGTATGAGAGAGGTTAAAATCACTTACCTAACCCTAATTTGAACCCTCACTTAACCCTAAATGTCCCGGGTGCCTAAGCTTAGTGAATGCACTAACTATAATGAAAGTGTAAAACTAGTTTTACTTACCTTCCAGTAGCAGGAGTGCTAGCACGCATGTGCAGCACAGGATCCAGCTGATTTCCCTCACCGGAAGTGACGAGGGTAGGGGATTTTCACGAGGTAGGGGAATTTGATAGAACACCGGCTAGCGTTATGCCAATACACAATATGGCGATATCGGAACACCGGAAGTGACGTCAGATATTCTCCAATATGTCACTTCCGGATACACGAAACTAACTGCAAACAGCTGATCCGGCCAACACCCACTCAGACTGGTAAATGATTGGATGAAAGACACACAGGAGGACCAATCACAGACGAACCGCCAGGTATAAAGCCTGCACAACGCGCACAGAAGAGGACACCGCTTGAGAAAGCCTGTTGGTTTAGGCGAAACGCGTCTCTGACTGCTTTTGGTCGGCAACATTCGTTTTTGGGACTTAATACCTGTGGTATTTTTATTTGTTGTTTTAATATACCTAATATTTTGGTTAATAAATTTTGTTAAATATATATCGAAGTCCCATACTTTGCCATTATCCTCTGCTGTAAAGAAGAGTTGTGCCCTCTTAAAGGCACAGTGCGCATTATCCTGAGAGCCCAGTACTTTTGCTCTCAACAAGGTGAGCAGTGAATGCTATATTTTATTCACAGTTTTAGTGAAGATAACGCACTATACAGTTGCAAGAAAAAGTATGTGGATTTCTGCACAAATTGGTCATAAAATGTGATCTGATAATCATCTAAGTCACAACAATAGACAATCACAGTCTGCTTAAACTAATAACACACAAAGAATGAAATGTTGCCATGTTTTTATTGAACACACCATGTAAACATTCACAGTGCAGGTGGAAAAAGTATGTGAACCCTTGAATTTAATAACTGGTTGAACCTCCTTTGGCAGCAATAACTTCAACCAAATGTTTCCTGTAGTTGTAGATCAGACGTGCACAACGGTCAGGAGTAATTCTTGACCATTCCTCTTTACAGAACTGTTTCAGTTCAGCAATATGCTTGGGATGTCTGGTTTGAATCACTTTCTTGAAGTCATGCCACAGCATCTCAATCGGGTTGAGGTCAGGACTCTGACTGGGCCACTTCAGAAGGCATATTGTCTTCTGTTTAATCCATTCTGTTGCTGATTTACTTCTATGCTTTGGGTCATTGTCCTGTTGCAACACCCATCTTCTGTTGAGCTTCAGCTGGTAGACAGATGGCCTTAAGTTCTCCTGCAAAATGTCTTGATAAACTTGGGAATTTATTTTTCCTTCGATGATAGCAATCCGTCCAGGCCCTGACGCAGCAAAGCAGCCCCAAACCATGATGCCCCCACCACCATACTTCACAGTTGGGATGAGGTTTTGATGTTGGTGTGCTGTGCCTTTTTTTTGCCACACATAGTGTTGTGTGTTTCTTCCAAACAACTCAACTTTGGTTTCATCTGTCCACAGAATATTTTGCCAGTACTGCTGTGGAACATCCAGGTGCTCTTGTGCAAACTGTAAACGTGCAGCAATGTTTTGTTTGGACAGCAGTGGCTTCCTCTGTGGTATTCTCCCATGAAATCCATTCTTGTTTAGTGTTTTACCTATTGTAGATTCGCTAACAGGGATGTTAGCATTTGCCAGTGACTTTTGTAAGTCTTTAGCTCACACTCTAGGATTCTTCTTCACCTCTTGCAGTCATCTTTACAGGACGGCCACTCCTAGGGAGAGTAGCAGCAGTGCTGAACTTTCTCCATTTATAGACAATTTGTCTTACTGTGGACTGATGAACAGCAAGGCTTTTGGAGATACTTTTAAAACCCTTTCCAGCTTTATGCAAGTCAACAATTCTTAATCGTAGGTCTTCTGAGAGCTCTTTTGTGCGAGGCATCATTCACATCAGGCAATGCTTCTTGTGAAAAGCAAACCCAGAACTAGTGTGTTTTTTGTTTTGTTTTGTTTTTTATAGGGCAGGGCAGCTGTAACCAACACCTCCAATCTCATCTCATTGATTGGACTCCAGTTGGCTGACATCTCACTCCAATTAGCTCTTGGAGATGTCATTAGTCTATGGGGTTCACATACTTTTTCCACCTGCACTGTGAATGTTTACATGGTGTGTTCAATAAAAAAATGGCAACATTTCATTCTTTGTGTGTTATTAGTTTAAGCAGACTGTGATTGTCTATTGTTGTGAATTAGATGATCAGATCACATTTTATGACCAATTTGTGCAGAAATCCATATCATTCCAAAGGGTTCACATACTTTTTTCTTGCAACTACATATGTCTTATCTTTCTTTTTATTCCTGAATATTCCACATCTCTACACTGAAGAAGTTTTGGTATTATCTATAAATACCTCTGCGCATGAGATTTGAGCCTATCTCCCATAAGGCTCTGCACCATGTGAGTGTTCTTTATACGATAATATATTACTCTACTTGTTTAAGACATACTGCACCATATTTTGTCTATTCCTTTCCCTCAGACATTCTGTTGTATTTTATTCCCTTATTTTAGGGTAAGTGTACATATTCAGCGCTCCACTGGTTTTTGTTTGATGTGGTTGGTTCTTCCCACTCAAATAATAATCCACTATCTGGTCTGCATGTTACTGTGTTAAGTTAGAGGTACTAACACGAGTGTTGAGCTGCTTTTTGAATTCTTTATGTAAATTTACTTTAAGCGCCTTATATTGACAGCACATTTGGTTTATTTCTCTAATTAAATAAGGACATTGCTGGCACCAGCACTCAGCTTCCAAAAGAGGTCAAGGCAAGTGGAATGAAATGTGTGTGTGTGTGTGTGTATGTATAATATATATATATATATATATACACACACTCTCTCTCTCCCTCTCCTCTCTCTCTTTCGCTCTTAGAAGCTTTCAGGGTGCTAGGAGCTAGTACGTCCTAGAAGGCTTCAAAATGTTTACCAGCCACAGGGCCAGGGTATTACTGTTCTGTCCCACAGCATGTTATGTGGATATTACACTTGATATTAATCAAATTTATTTTGATGCCTATAGTGTGTTTTATCAAGTGCTGCACTGCACACCTTTACTCTCCTTCAAGCAATGCTGTGTGACCTGTTCCAAACTTCCATAGATTAGGAGCCTTAATGGACATCCAAGTCTAATCTTCAGGAAACAACACCTAGAGGGTTTGAGGCTCCCACTTTTCCCCCAGACTGACCATACAGAAAGGTTGGATCTTGCCTGCAGCAAGGGAACTGACTGCAACATAAATTGCCTGCTCACCTACAAAGAAGGAATCGCCCTAAAGGACTAGAAGAGCTATGGTGGCAAAAAGGTCAAGGACCCAACTCTCCAACTAAAACTCAGTGTTGAGATATACAGTTTTGGGGAACAAAGCACAAAACATAAAAAGTGACAAAAAAAAGTTTATAAACACACATGCATGTTCAAGGTGTTATAAATAAAACCTGTTTAAGCGGTTCAATTTACCGTTTTCCTATTGTTTGCTCTTCTCTTCCTTTTCCAGAATGTTATTTTCTTCCTTTCTGATCTATTTCTCTTTAAAACATACGATAAAGAACTTTGGCTTATGTAGCAGCTCTGCGAGACTATTTATACACCTCTCCCTGACTGCTGTACAAAATATGCGAATAATCATTAACAATACAATCTGCTTTGTATATAACACCTTTTTATATATATATATATATATATATATATATATATAACCGCTTTGAATGGTTATATCTAATCAATATTTCAGGCTAATAAATTTGCTATTGCAGTTCTATTCGAACAGGAATAAAAGGCAAAAGCTGCTCCAGAAACAGGTGGGAGAACACAGCTATCAGTCATCATACTAGTACGTGCCAAGAGGCGGAATAGTGATTGACAGCCCTGGCTGATTTCCATACATTAGTGTAGCTGTGCCAGCCAGTAGAGCTCCATAGTAAGTTAACCCATTGATGCATCAATAAAGGGTTTAGTCATTAAACAAATCTGTGGTGGAGCAAGTTGCAAAATGAAGACCAAATAACCCGGGTTGTTGGTTTTTTTTTTTCTTTTTCTCAATTCTGATATTTTTGTTATTCACATAAGACAGAATCCAGTTTTGTGAATAAATGCTTACTTTTCTGGACAGATCTTCTTTACTGTCAGTGCAGCCTGCCTCCGATTACGATGTTACTGCTTAAGTTCTTGGAACCATTGTTTCATTTTCTATAATGAGTGTTCTAACTGGAAAAGAAAATGTTGTATGTACTGGAATATAACTCATTATTTCAATATTTTAGCACTGTCTGGAGTCATCTTCTGCACCGTTAACATGGTATGGATTTCTAAATAAGGGATCTGTCACTTCTCTGGAAATTACAATATTGAATAAACAATTCAACAACGTTTAGGGAAAAAGTAAACATAATAATGAACATCCTGGGAAGTAAACATTCTCCTTTACAGAGAAATGTTCAAAACACTATGGGCATTAAATAATAGGTACAGGGTTGTCTATGTTTGAAATGAATGTTACCTTTCTCTCCACTATGCTGCCATGGATAGTGCCATACAGGCAACCTTGAAATAAAGTAAGGCTACATTGCTCAGCAAAACAGATATTTCTAACGCTTTCAAATTGCTCCCTATGTTTACTTCTTTGTGGCACATCCATAGTATCAAGTTGAGAGACAATAATTATTTTGCTACAAGGCTCACGTTTGGGTCCAAGAGTAGCCCCACACTTTTTTATATAATCGCCAAGACGCTCTGCTTAATGTGGCCAGGTGTCCCATGGTGATCCATTATATGGATGATATTTAGTTGGTGGAAGATAGTTGTAACAATCCCCAGAGCATTCTTGGCACCACAACTCTAGTCACTACCCTGGGCATCCCACTTTCACCTGACCAGACCATTGGCCCCTCTACCAGATTGGTATTTTTGGGGATTATCTTGGACTCCACTATAATGCAATCCTGTCTCCCAGAAGATAAACTCCTGCATATTCTCGAAGAGTTGGACTGGTTCCTGAATTTAGGAGCCCATACATATAAGGATCTTCAGTCCCTACTGGGTTCCTTCAACTTTGCAATACGCATTATCCCACAGGGTAGATCTTTCATATCTAGACTACTTTGCCTACTACCAGGCCTTCCAGATGACGGTATCATTTTACAAGTCCCACCTGCTTGGGTCAACCTAGCCATGTGGCAAGATTCCTCACACATTGGAATGGAATTTCAATGTTTATTCCTCCTCTGTCCGACCAGTCCCCTGTTTTCTGGACTGATGCATCTGCCCACAGAGGTTTCACAGCAATTTATGACTATGACTATGACTATTGGTTTAGAGACAATTAGCCTATTGAGACTTTTGGATTACCCTCATTTCACGAGACATCTGCCTTATTTGAGATTTACCCTACTGTAGCAGCAGCATATATGTGAGGTAAACTCTGGTCAGGTATGGCGGTGAAATGTTACACAGATAACATGACAGCTTGCAAACGTATAAATGAGGGTCGGTCTTCCTCATTGACCATTATGAAATTGATTTACAGGCTGACCGCCAGCAGATACCCAGCACACTAGCTTTCCACTACCTAATCATGTGTTGACTCTGTTACTATCTCATGGCAGAATACTGTCTCAAGCCGCCTTATCTGTTAACACCATAAAAACTTACCACAGAGCTATAGTCATATTTTCCAGGGTAAGCCCTCTTTTATTTACAGACCAACTTGTATGTTGGTTTCAGTACACCACTACCGGTGTTCACCACAACACCGGTGTTATCACACAGCTTTTATGTTGCCGACCATATATATATATATATATATATATATATATATATATATACACAAATGTCTACAAATACTTGCAGTTTAGGGAATAAGATACATGAGCTTGTGGCAATAATGGCAACTGATAATGTAGATTTAGTCGCCGTTACTGAGACATGGTATAATGAGAAAAATGATATAGCAATACCAGGGTACTCTTTATATAGCAAAGAAAGGGAAGGCAAGAAAGGGGGGGTTGCCCTGTATGTGAAGAATAGCATAAAATCTAGCCTAATTAAAGTTAGCGAGGCGAACATAGAGTCCGTTTGGGTTATGTTAGAATTTGGTA